AAGGTCTAGGATGTTGGTATTCATGAGTCTTGAGTTCTTTAGTTGAGACATTCAAAATTGTCAGATGAAAGTTGCATTTATGTTTTGTGTTTGTGGTGATGTTCAAAGATCATTATTTCCTCTTCCTTTGGCATTTCAATCTGTTGCCCTTCAACTGCCATAAATCCTTTCTCGTTGTGCTCATCTCAAAGGTCTTGATTGAGAACCGTGCTTACAATGAAAACAATGGTGTAGTTTAGCTTCGTGTTGGTTGGTTTTGGTTTCAGCGACGCTAAGTGGTGGTGCAGAAGTCAAGTGGTCTAGATCAGTAATGGTTTTTCATATGAAAAAAATGAAATAGAAATGTAAACATATGAAGAACTATAAATAAACATATACAAAAATCTTTTGAAATCGTTTAAATATTTATAAATCTTCAAAATCTTAAAAAATCCCAGAAGATCTCAAATCATCTCACAACCGGGGTTTCGTGGGAAAGGGTTTCGGAATTACCAAATAGTTTCCCAGGATCAAAATCTTAAAATATCTTAAAGAAATCTTAAACATGCATAAAACATGCAAAAATATGAAAAAAAAATGACAAAAGACAAAAATATATACATATTTATATAAAAATATAGTCCAAAAATAACAAATAACAAATAAATAAATATACATAGAAATAAATGCAAAAACATGTGAAAACACTCTCGTGGTGAGCGTTGCTGTTGTGTGGGCTAGTGTGTCAATGGGTTGCAGAAAATAGAAAACATAGTCTATAAAATCTAAAAAAACAAAAAAAAATATGTTAAACATATTTAGTTCGTTGATTTTCTGTGTTTTTTCTGTTTTTTTTTAGTTTAAACTGTGTTTTTTCGATGCTTGCATGCAAAAACCATAGGAAGCCAAACCCGGGCTGATCCAATCCACCACTTAGTCTCAGTCATAGTTCCTATAATGTACTAATCATCACCGTCTTCAAATTTCAGAAGGCTGATTTGGTGTGTTGCCAAATGTGCTTTGGTGTTTCTGTAAAGTAGGATTGACTAGATTAGATAGCTTCTTCGGGGATGAGATACTGTAATACACATTGACGGCCGAAGACGGTGAAAAAGGTAAAAAAAGAGAATGATGTTATCGTCAAGGAAGGTCTGCGTGATGACTTCAAAAGCCATCAACGTCACAGGGGTAACAGCCAGAGAGCTGCTTGGTGGCGCCCAGCTGCTTGTTTGGCTGCCAGCCGCTTGATACCCAAAGCTGGCGAACCTAACCAGAGTCAAGGAAAGGAAGGAGCACGTGCGAAAAGGAAGCAGTGCCATCCAAGAATAGATATATAATCAGATATGGAGATGATGATGAAGCTGGTATAGGAATATAAAGCCTGCACCCAAACATAACACCCGTTCAGCCACAACAATTGTCCAAGTCAGGAACAAGAACATGCTGATGCTCTTGAACGATCGTTTGTGTGGTGCATAAACCCAAGTTCGCAACTTTTCCCAAACACAGATAAAGTTCAATGTCAACAAAATTTGCATGCTTGGATACTGTATAGGATATATGATGATATATGTAGATGCACTTGTGCACACGAGGTCGCGGTTGCTTTCTCTAATTGCTGAACAGTAACATGTGTGTGAACTTATGTTGCTGTGTGTGCAACGTTTGTCGATGTTTCAAAGCCCTTTCAGTTGGCTTGAACATCCCAGTTTTCAGACCCTTTCTTTGCAGTCACATGTCCAATAGATTGTCTTGCAGGTTCCTCTTCCAGGCTGGGAACACATGGTGAGAATTGTGTTGCCTCTAGCGTCATCGGATTGGCCAGTACAGGCTTGCTTCACGTGGGACCACGTAGAGTGTTCAATTCAAACAGGTTGAGCAATTTGGATCCAATGATTTATGCATAGTTGGACCTTGCAGCCAGCGGCTATCTCAAAAAGATACCATCGTATGTTTTGCCATACTCTGAGAGGCATTGCTAAGAACCTTTGAGCACCACTAGTCTCAAAACAAATTGGTCATACACAGACATCCGCAAACCTCAAAGGCTTTCGCATGCTGTCTCCGATTCATCTCCGGGCCAACGAAAGTCGGCCGTTACTCAGGCCTGGGAAAAGTCGGAGAAGACAAGAGCAAGAGGAAAGTGATGAAGGCCGGCAAAACGATAGGCTTTGGACATGACGTTTGCATGAGAGAAAATGTATCGTTTGTTTCCCATCTTCTTTTTTAGTCCTTCCGTGTGTGTTGATGTTGCTTCATGTTGCTTCTATTCTCTCACAGGTATGGCCATCCCGTGCTGTTGATGCCGAATATTAACAATGCTCTTTGTTCGCCGCGTTTGTAAACATGGGGAATAGGTGGAAGACTGAGTAGCAACAGTGAGTAGTAACAGTCCGATTCCTCCAGCAAGCTTGGGCGAACAAGTATTGCTACAGTCACAGAAATAATCATGGAAGTCGGGTTCACCACCGGCTTATAGAGGAAAATCCTATTCTATTTGTTGCCATGTTGCACTTCCATTCATTATTTGAAAGTGTAACAAATAAAACATTATTTTGTGTGGAACAAGAAGCTACTAGGGGCTCCTGGCATCGCTACTGGGAGCAAGGACGCTACTAGGGGCTCCTGGCCGTACTACTAGGAGCAAGAACGCTACTAGGGGCTCCTGGCATCGCTACCAGGAGCAAGGATGCTACTAGGGGCTCCTGGCATCGCAAGGACGCTACTAGGGGCTCCTGGCATCGCTACTAGGAGCAAGAACGCTACTAGGAGCTCCTGGCATCGCTACTACGCTGCTAGGGGCTCCTGGCATCGCTACTAGGAGCAAGGACGCTACTCGGGGCTCCTGGCATCGCTGCTAGGAGCAAGAACGCTACTAGGGGCTCCTGGCATCGCTACTAGGAGCAAGAACGCTACTGGCCGGCATCGCTACTAGGAGCAAGAACGCTACTAGGGGCTCCTGGCTGGCATCGCTACTAGGAGCAAGAACGCTACTAGGAACAAGAAGCTCTTGCAGATATGACTTCACATCATGTGAGGCCATCCAGAGGGGCCATATGGCCATGGTAGTTGGCTGAGCTTTGCGTACCGGGTAGGCTGGCTAGAAGAGGTCTACAGAGTCCATTCGATAGACCCCTAGTGGCTTCTAGTACTAATGGCCTCCAACCTAATAGCGATGGCCTCCACCGTGCGTAGCTTCTTGTTACTGGCTAGAAGAGGTCTAGAGAGTCTACACTGTATTGAGATCATGTGCATTCTTCACAGACTTTGCAACGGCTTTGCAGTAATGTTTGCCAACATGCATCAACCTACAGTACCGTGTGCCAGCATCATCGAATGGCTCAAGTGGACAGAGGTCCATGGCATGAGGGACATTCTGATGCCTTCCTCACCTCTTGCAACACCAACAATTGGCAACAAGCCCTTCAATTGCTGCCTTCCATTCATGTGAAAATTGCTGGCAAGTTGGGTGCTCAAGGAGCACGTTTGGCAAGTCGGGCTTGCTCTCACTTGCTGGCAAGTCTTGCAAGGGAAACAAACTGGCGCGCTGCGCAAACATTCTTCAAGGCCTTGCCAAGCTTGGCACCTTCCATTCCATACACGCCTGGAATCATCTCAGCTTTTCTGAGTTCCTATGCACAGAAACGCTTTTGGCAACAGTCACTTGATTTTCTCAATTCCATTCATTCAGGGAATCCTCTCTCAAGTTCTTTGGATGCGGCAGTTTACAACACGGTGATAACAAGCTGCGCGCGCGCTTCAAGGTGGCCTTGGTCACTTTGGCTTTTGGAAGAGCTGATCTCCTGTGAATCTCGTCCAAGAGCAAACCTTCTCACCTTCAACGCTGCAATTCATGCGTGCGAACGGCGCGGCCTTTGGTCCCACGCGCTTCTTTTGTTGCAACAAATGAAGGAGAACAAGGTCACGCCTGACTCAGCATCATTGAACTGCATTTTAAGTGCATGTGAGAAGGGACAGCAATGGCAAATGGCCATTGCACTCCTTCCTTGGTTCTCGACTTACAAATGTCCCCGCACCATTGTCACCTATGGCGCTGTGGCTGCAGCTTGCACAGCCGGGGTGGCGTGGGAGGCAGCCATCGCTTCGCTGCTTGAGCTTCTTTGGCTACAAGTTCCTCCCAGTACTGAAGTCTTCAATTCCACGGTTGAAAGCTGCAAGCGTGGTTGGGCCTGGCAGCAGTGTCTAGCCGCCCTGGCCCTCGAGCTCAACGCCCTCAATTCCAAGACAGTTGCCATGCACAGGTCAGTCAGTCAATCGCTGGTTTTAGCACAGGTGAGTTGCCGGGCGTGTACCTCCACAGGTCAGTCTTTTCCACAACCGCTGGTGCTGCGGCACCTTGAGCTCAAGCCGTCCAAATTGGAATGGACCGGATCTCCGATGGTGGCATCCGATCGATGGCTGGAAGAAGCCAATGATTTGGGCGGTCTCCTAGCGAGGCATTCACTGGAGCGCAACCAACTGTGCTCGTCTACATTTGTGCACGAAAAGAAGCTGAGATATGTGTGTCATTTTCCGGTCTTTCAAGATCAGTGAAGTGTTTATAGTCCTACAAGTGAGCCATTGATCACAGTGTGACACACGACCTAAGGCAGTGATAGCTTCGGCCAGTACAACAATTTTGCGAATGCAGCACATATGCTGTGCAGGCCCGGCTTTTGACATGTCCTTCCATGTGATGATTGTGCACGATCCTTTCGGGGTACAGATTTGACCTTCGTTGCAGAGGAAGGCGGCATATGGTTGTTGCAACGTTTTGCAAATGGCTGATATGATTTGTGGGATTCTAGTCGTTGGTTTTGACAGGAGAAGGCTTGCACAACTTTGTGGCTCAAGAGCAGTTCTGTATTCTCTAGAACACAGAGTGGGAGATGCCTGCATGACATTCCTGTTCCATGGGCCCACCCTGAAGTTGAACACTGTTCAGAAGCTACACATCAAACACAGAACAGAACATGACAGAACCATTTGCTTTCGCTTCTGGCTAATGTTCCATTTGTGTCATGCGGCGAGACAGCTTTGAGATCGACACTTCGCGGCTGCGTGAGCCGCAGAGAGCTTCGACTGAAAGAACTTCGTTTGTCCTCAATGCGCACGACGCAGCTGGCAAAGGTTCATCCTTTGTTTACATTTCAAGTGGCAAGGGTTGCTTGCACAGCTTGAATCTAGCAGTTTTTTTGTTTTTTATATGTCGTGTGGATGTGTTAATTGTTTCTTTGCTGCTTATTGTATTACTTATGTATACTTATGTCATGTCTGTTTAGGTATGGGCAGGTTGATGTGATCATTCATATATATATATACAATATGTATATATATATTCCTTTATAGCGTCGAAATGAACCAGGTCGCATGTTGCCCTTCTCGATCAGCCGATGTTCCGCTATCGCATCTCAAGCGAGGGCGGGTGTGGAGAGGATTCGCTTGTGCCATGGTCTGAGGAAAAGGGGCTGCGACGGTGAGTGGGTCCTTGGCTAAGGACAACCGGATTTCGTGGGTGAGGACACCCTTCATTGGTACATTGGTGTGGTCACCATTTGTTGTTGGATTGGACATTGAGCATTGTCTTTTCTTTGGAGTGGTCTCCAACCAGTTTTGGTTGAACCTCGTGGGCGAGGAAGCTACCAATCCTTTTGTGATTGGTAGCGGAGCCCGGTCGATTGTGGGATGGCTACAGCTAGTTCAGAGACGACACAATCCCTGACGTCGCAATTGGCACAGCTGGTCCCGACCTTTGACCCGGGTGTTGATAGTGTTGAGCAGTGGTCGCAAAAGATCAGATTGATCTTGCAAGCTTGGCCGGAATCCCGCTTGAGAGAATTGGCAACCCGCATTGTTCTCAATACAAAGGGCTCGGCGTTTCAAAAGCTTGAACTTCGACAATCTGAGGTTTTGACAGGTGACAAGGGTGGCATTGAGAAGATCATTGAGATCGTATCAGGGCAATTCGGACAGATCGACTTGGAGAAGAAATATGAAATTGTCGAAAGGGCCATCTACAAGTGCGTCCAAAAACCGGATGAAAGTTCGGATTCCTTTTTGGCTCGCAGCGATGTCACCTGGACCGAAGTGTTGATGAAGAAGGTGTCCCTCCCAGAAGTTCAGGCCTACATTGTTTTGCGTGGCAGTCGACTGTCCCCTGAGGACAAAAAGCGTGTGTTGGTTGAAGCCGGAGCAGAATCTGGTGGAGCTCTGACCATGCAAAAAGTTTAAGCAGCAGTGAGGATGCTGGGATCCTCCTTTTTTCAGGAGATGACTTCAGGGAAAAGAGAAAAATCCTTGAAGACCTACGACAGCACCGCATTCGTGGCCGAAGAGGACAACGATGAGGAACCCGACTGGTCATGGAATGAAGAATACATGGACGAAGAAAATCTTGAAGCATTGGCCCAAGATGATCCCGACGCAGCATTGGTTGTTCAATTTGAGGCTGCAATACAAGACGTGATTCAAGATGATCAAGATTTGTCAGCATTTTTTCTTCGTATACCAAGATGCCCGTCGGAGACTCCAGGATCGTGTGAAGGCCCGAGGCTTTTGGAGTGGTGGCAAAGGTGCCTCAGGTTCCAAAGGTTTCAAAGGTAAAGGTAAGGGAAAGGGGTTCAAAGGCTCGAAAGGTTTCCGCAGCCTTCAACAACGCATTGCCGAATCGTATTGTCGGCACTGCAACCAGAAAGGTCATTGGCGTGCAGAGTGCCCAGTTCGCAAGTCTGCTGAAAGCCAAGGGAGTGGATCCGAGAAGAGTGCATATGTCGCCCCAACATCCGCAGCCGTATCGTTCGACCTCGACCAAGTTCCAGAGATTTCGTTCGAGAACAATGAACATCCTGAGGACACCGATGTTTGTGTTTTCGGTTTGGTCGAACAAAGAGTCAAGTTCTTTGAAGAGAAGTTCAAAACAAAGCTTAGAGCTAAGCCCCAAAGCCCTGTCAGGAAGAGCCGTGATGCCTGTCTTCCTGAGGTGAGCGCTCAAGCCAGACAATCCAAATCCGACTCGATTGAGGAGCTTCCGAGCCTGTTCGCATCAGTAGGAACTACAGGAGTAGTAGACCTTGGTGCCTCACAAACGGTGATTGGAAGCGAACAGGTTTCCGAATTGTTAAACAATTTACCTAGTGAGATCCAGAGACAGGCCCGGAAGACGAAATGCAATCTGATTTTCAAGTTTGGAAACCACCAAACTCTGCCGAGCAAAGTGGCGCTCCTCCTGCCGCTCCAAGGAACCTGGATTCGCATAGCCATTGTCGAAGGGCGGACTCCATTTTTGTTGTCAAGCAGTTTCTTGAAACGTGTTCAAGCGGTCATCGACACCGAAAAAGGGACATTGTGGTCAAAACGCCTGAACCGAAACTTGCACATGACTCAAACCAACAAGAACCTTTTTCTGTTAGACATCAACCAATTGTGGGAGTCACCAACCTCGAAACAGTGCAGCGAGCCGGATTCCGTCTTGATCGTCAAGAGTTCTCCGCAGGAAAGCCACGACGGACCAATCAATCCCGATCAATGTGTGAAAACGTTTCGTGCTGTGCCAGCTGAAGTCAAGGGCCGGGAACCGTCCGAAGGTAAGAATTCGTGCAGTTCGACAAGTTCATCGGCCGTTTCGGAGCGTTTTCCGACACATGACATGAAGCATGAATCACAGTTGGAGGTTCATCAACTCCTAGCTCTTCGGTCATTGCCGCTCCCGGTGACCCGTGTTGTGAGCCCGATCATGTCCGCGCTGTCCGCTCAGCTGCTTCGCCTCCAGAAGCACCAGAAAGAAGAGGAAGACCAGGTCGAGATCGACGAGATGACACTGGCCGACCTCGAAACTCAGGTGATCATGTTCGGCAAGACGAAGATGGGTTGCAAGTTTCCCGAAGCATTTGCCGACACTCAGTGGACCAGATTCGTGGTGAGCAAATTCGAGAGCTCAACAAAAAAGGAACATCGAATGTATGTCCGATATGTGCAACTCCGTCTCGACCAGATGGAAAAAGAAGAGCTCAGCCCAGAGGATCGGTACTGCCTGCATCAGACAACAGTGGGACCTACATCATCCAAGACGACCGAGCGGAAAGGTCCCATGACTGCTCTGAAATCCAAGGCCAAACCAAAGGCCTCTTCAGCAAGTGTGCCGACCTATGCCCCAGATCCTCAAGGCCTGGACCTAGCAATGAGCCCGTCGTTCCCAGAGGAGCTCTACGATCTGCAAGGGCGCATGAACTCGGTGGAACACACCCTACAAGAGATAGTCCATCATCTGAGGACGCTGGCCAGTGCCCCGGTAGAGCAGCCCTGCAACTGGACTGTGATCAAGGAAGAGCATCCGGAGATCTAGAAGAGCCAGAATATCAAAAGCTCACAGCTGAGTGTTTCAGTATCAATCATTTTGGAGAGCCTCAATTCGATTTTGACCTATGGGATGAAGCCAAGACACGAGCAGCATACCAGACTCTTGTTCGTAAGTATCGGAAAGAGTTCTCACAAGCACAACAGGTCATTCGACAGCATGCAAAAGAACCGACATTTTTGTATTCTGCTCTTCGCAAAGCGAGCTAGTCCGCCAAAGTCAAGCCCGATGCCTGAAGGCTTTTCGCTTCGGGTTGATGCAAGGTGATCTCAGAAACGAGAACCATAGGAAAAACATGTTTGCACATATTCTTTTCGAACAACCAGAGAATATTTGGATAAGTCCTGAGTGCAAACCATGGTGTAAGTGGACCTCACTGAACTTGAACAAGTCCATTGAAGCATTCGAGAACACCATGAATCAACAAAGGGAGCATCTTTGGCAGATTGCAATTGTTCAAGCGTTGTTCGAATACCAAGTTGAGAGAAACAAACACTGTCATGTCGAACAACCCGACGGTTCAAAGATGCTGAGACACCCCAGTTTTGTCCGTATGAGCCAGATTGCAAAGCCGAGCAAATTCGACGTGTGCATTGTGGGAGATCTTTCTCATCCCCAAACAGGAAAACCCATAAGAAAAAGACTTGTGGTCCTGACAACCTCCAAAGAATTTCATTTGATGTTGCATTTTCGATACTGTCAGAAGGATCATGAACACCCTCAGATCGCGGGACATGTTCGAGACCCTGAAACGTCCAAGAGCATTCAACTGTCATCGTTCACCGAACGATATCCAAGAAAGTTTGCAAGGCAGGTAGTCGCGTGTCTAAATCGAGAGCATCAAAGACCCCAGTGGACCTTCGTCGAAGAAACGAGTTTGGGAGAAGATCACCCCACAAAAAGAAGAAGATTGCGTCAAAAGACTTCAGCAATAGATCTAATAAACCCAACATGGGAAACCATCATGCAGGAAGCAAATCGTCTCGCAAAACGAGTATAGGACCATCAGTCATCCACCTGGGGAACCATTTGACCACCAATTTGGTGGCCATTTGCTTCTCGACCACGTTTGGAAAATTTCACGGCCATATCTGTGTTTCACGGCCATTCGGGCCCGCGTATTGAAATTCACGTTTTTCACGTTTTTTCACGGCCATTCAGCGTTTTTTCACGGCCATTTGCACACTTTTTCACGGCCATATGTCCTGTTTCACGGTCATTCCGGGTTTCACGGCCATTTGCTTTTTTCGCGGCCATTTGGCCAAACGACCACCGGCCACCAAATTGGTGGCCAAATGGTTCCCCAGGCAGAGTGGTTCCCTAATCGATGCAGTCACCGCCATGATTCCTGACAAGGAGGTCTCTCACATTGTCCTACGCCGAGGCGTTGATCGAATGCTAGGTCCGCTGAAAGTCATGCGCCCGGGAGAGGGCCCTCTCCGCAAGATGATCTGCATTCGAAGAAGATTCGAGGATGTGGTAATTGAACCAGAATGGGAAAACTGGGAAAGACTGTCATACAGGAGACTTAGACGTAAGTGTACACCAGCCCGAGTAAGCCTGACAGTTTTTGCCAAGCCTCGAATCGGATATTCGGCCGGATTGGGAAATCCATCTCATCTGAATCCGGATGATTCAGAAGCGACGACTCGAGAGTCCGAGAAGAGACTGCCACAGTCAGCCGATGTCGATAGTGAACCGCCTGCAAAGAGAAGATATATTGATGATGAAAACCAAGAGAGCTCAATTCGTGAGATTCGTGGGGATTCAACCAGTTCGATCAGAGAAATGATAGACCTTGCAAGTCAAAAACATGGTCCCAAATTCTTAGAGTTGAAAGCCGAAGATCAACAGTGGCTGCTGAAATTGCATAAGAACCTCGGACATCCTGGTAGTATGAAGCTCCAAACTTTTTGCAAACACATGAACTGCCAGCCATACGTCCTTGAAGCCATACCAGACATGAAGCGTTCAACATGTACCGAACGCAAGAGTCAAAATATTCCAAGACCATCCATCATTCATGAAGAAGGAGATTTTGGTGATGTTGTATCCATGGACGGAGTCATGTGGACCAACAAGAATGGTAAAACGTTTCATTTTTACCATTTCGTAGACCGCAGCACCACGTTCCAAACAGCAGTATGTTCACCGCCGAGAACGACTGACAGTGCCCTGCGAGCCCTAACTCTGGGCTGGATCAGCTGGGGAGGACCACCAGGTCTTCTGTGCCTTGACTCGGCCGGTGAGTTCTGCAATGAGGAGTTTCTGAACTTCATGCAGAAACACAACATCAAAGTTCGCATGATTCCACCAGAAGCCTCATGGCAAAATTCCAGAGCTGAAAGACATGGAGGCATTCTCCAGGAAATGCTCAGCCGAATGGACCAAGATGAAAGCATAGACGACTATGACAAACTAGAACAGAACTTGGCCATTTGTACTCAAACAAAGAACTGCTGGAGTAGACATAGGGGATACCCACCTGAGATGTTAGTCTTTGGAAAGCTTCGTAAGTTCCCAGGATCAATAAGCAGTGACTCAGAGACCTCAGCACACCTTCAAGCGACAGAAGAAACACCTGAAGGAATCCGCTTTCGGAAAGAACTCCAGGTCCGAGAAAAGGCCAGGAAAGCATTCGCGCAAGTCGATAACAGCCAGACCCTTCGGCGAGCACTCGTGCAAAGGTCTCGACCAGCCAGAAGTAGGTATTACCCCGGGGAGTGGATCATGATCTGGCGAAAAGATGGTAGATGGATTGGACCCTTTAAGACAATTATTCAAGAAGGTTCAAATACCATTTGGGCAAGCCGAGGTCATCAACTGTTTCGTGCATCACCAGAACAAGTCAGACATCTATCAGCCTTTGAAGAAATGCAATACCAAAATGAAAAACAAGAAATGGTCTCAAGTGAAAAAGATCCTCAACAGATTTCGAGATATTTTCAGGACCTTCGACTACCAGAATCAGAGAGTATTCCGACTGAGCCGATGTCCGCGGAATCTGGAAGAGAGAACACTTCAAACAACCCGGATTCAAACACCAGTGAACAACCCGATAATGAACCAGAGATACGATCCAGATCAGAACATTCAGAAATGCAAAATCCTGAAATGCCAGAGAATCTAAACCCCGAAGACATTCCAGTACCTTCAGATGATGAATTGCTTTGCGAAGCCTTTTCGCTAGAAACTGAACAATGTTGGGAATTGAGCTTCAATCTCACAGATCAGGAAACAGGACAACTTGCTGGAGCAGCAAATCAGGAAGAATGCGTAACACTTTTGGTGACAAATGCAAAGCGACAGAAAGTTGAAGTGAAGATGTCCAACCTGAGTCCAGCAGACCGTGCCCGTTTTGACAGTGCAAAAGGGAAAGAAATCGATAGCTGGTTAGAAACCCAAACAGTGGCCAAAATTGCCCGACATCGAATTCCTCCAGAGAACATCCTGAAATGTCGATGGGTTTTGACGTGGAAGAACAGTGAAACAAACGAACATTTGTCGAACACCAGCTCAAATCAAAATAGAATCCCAAAGGCAAGGTTGGTAGTATTAGGATTCATGGATCCGAAACTACACGAAATCCAGAGAGACTCACCCACATTGACAAAATTGGGCCGTTCGCTGATACTCCAGCTATCAGCAGCAAACTCATGGCGTATCTCCTCGTTCGATGTGAAAACTGCTTTTTTGAGAGGTACTGCAGATCAAGAAAGACTGCTTGGACTAGAACCTGTTCCAGAATTTCAATTCAAGCTACAAATGCGCCAGGGTGAAGTACTCCAACTTTTAAAGGGAGCCTATGGTCGCGCCGATGCCCCTCTGTTATGGTTCCGTGAAATCAGAAAAGGGTTGCTTGACCTTGATTTCGAACAATGCCCCATGGACCCATGTGTTTTCACCTTGACCGACCCAGAAGGGAAAACATGCGGAGCGATCGGTCTACACGTAGACGACGGCATCTTTGGAGGAAACCACCTGTTCGAAGCAAAGCTGATTGAATTGTCGAAGAAATATCCTTTTGGATCAGGCAAGCATACTGACTTCGTGTTCACAGGAATTCATGTAAGTCAAGGGTCAGACATGACAATATCATTAGATCAGTCCCAATATGTCAAAGAAATAGAGCCTATAAAGTTGACCCCTGCTCGAAGAAAACAACAAGAAGACTTGATCACCGAAGAGGAACGCCAGAGTCTTCGTGCAGTCATAGGCAGTCTACTGTACGCAGCAGTCAACACAAGACCTGACCTGTGCAGCCGATTAGGCCAGCTCCAGACCAGGATCAACAATGGCCAGGTCACTGACCTTCTTGAAGCAAATCGTGTCCTACATGAAGCAAAACAGTATGCAGATACAAAGATCACATTCCAACCAATACCCACCAGTGAAACCCGATTCCTTTCGTTCTCAGATGCCTCTTTTGCCTCAAACGAGAACGACAGTTCTCATCAAGGGTTGCTTATCATGGCTTGCCAAAGACAGCTAGAAGATAATCAACAAAGCAAAGTCAACCCCATAATCTGGGCGTCGAGAAAAATCCAGAAAGTAGCAGTAAGTACCCTGTCTGCGGAATCCATGTCACTAGCTGGTGCTATAGCTACTCTTGAATGGGTTCGCCTACTCTGGGCATGGATAGTTGATTCGAAATGCGCATGGAGACTTGGAGACAAAACGCTGACCAAACTTCCACCTGCGTTCTCGATAGTCAAAGATACAGAACTTCACGATCCAAACGAAACGATGTGCCAAACCAAAGAACTCCTTGACAAAGTCAAACCAGAGAAGTCGATCATGGCCACGGACTGTAAAAGCTTGTATGATCTTGTGAGTCGCACCGCGACACCATCATGCTCTGAATTTAGAACATTGCTACAGGCCAAATTGATTAAAGAGCACATCGAGACCGGAATCTGCTTGAGATGGGTTCCTTCGGGAGCTCAGATTGCGGACTTATTAACAAAAATTATGGACAACACGATCCTCAGAGAGGTACTTCGAATTGGACAGTATAAATTCCAAGATGAATCCGAACTTCTCAAACAAAGAGCCGACACTAGAACCAGACTGAAATGGCTCCGATCGAATGCACAGATCTCCGATTTTGGAAAAGCCAAGTCGTCCGAATCGGAGTAAAAGCTGCAAGGCCTCTCTCGAGAGGGACACTCTGGAGTGAGTGTACTGCAAGGGCTTGAGAAAGTCATAGTGTGATTATGAATCTTGGGGAAAGTCCTTTTGCAAAAGAAAAGCCAAAGCGAGATATCACCCGCCATAATTCATAAAAGCCAGATGCCTTTTGTGTTTCGCATGTTTTTGCCATCTTACGAGCCTAAGAGGGATAGATCATACTAAATAATGCCACCATGACGATCCTTGAAGATCCACACAAGGTCAACATGCTGAGACCACTTAAAGAAAACCAGGTCGCATGTTGCCCTTCTCGATCAGCCGATGTGCCGCTATCGCATCTCAAGCGAGTGCGGGTGTGGAGAGGATTCGCTTGTGCCATGGTCTGAGGAAAAGGGGCTGCGACGGTGAGTGGGTCCTTGGCTAAGGACAACCGGATTTCGTGGGTGAGGATACCCTTCATTGGTACATTGGTGTGGTCACCATTTGTTGTTGGATTGGACATTGAGCATTGTCTTGTCTTTGGAGTGGTCTCCAACCAGTTTTGGTTGAACCTCGTGGGCGAGGAAGCTACCAATCCTTTTGTGAATATATATATATATATATATTCCTTTATAGCTTTTGGTGCATTCACCTACTCAGGTTTAAGCATTTGTGAAGCTACTACTGTCATCTTCAATTCCGGCCTGGGTGCGACCATTGCAGCTGTGCCTTACTTTGCGAATTTGTCCGGATACCTCGGCTTCGTCTTCGTGACAGTGGCTATGGCCGTGACAGGAGTTCTAGAGCAGCAAACCTTGTTGAGAGCAAGTGCAGATCGGAATGCTAAGACCTTTGACGAGCTTTGCCAGCCCATACCAGCCTGGGCGCGGCAGATGACTGTTTGGTGTGGCTTGGTCTACCTTTGGGCCTGTGCGGGATGGTATTTCCACTTTGTACTATCGTTTGTTGAAGCGCAGCTGTGCCCAGTGCTTTGCAGATCAAGCGGTGACAATTTCCTGTGTCAAAGTCGCTGGCATTTTGGTTTTCCTATTGGCATCATGCTGTTTGCAGTGTCCTTTCCCGCTGAGCTTTCTGGAAGCATGTCTCGGGCAATCAACTGCACCAGCATGATTGCCAAGACAACGGCAATTCTCATAGCTTTGGTAAAAGGTGCCCTTGTTTGGCATCAAAAGACCGAAGCTTCTGAACTCATCGCATGGAAGCCCACAGCATTTGCCGCTGTTGCAAGCAATATGATCGGAACATTTGCAAACACTGGCATCATGCCTCAGGTGGCTGCCGATCTCAAGCCAAGTCTTTTGCACAGAGCAGTGCGAATATGCCCGTGTTCAGCGGTCTCGAACATTTGCGGAATATATTGTTTAAAGTTGACTCTTTGCATCTCTTTGCTAGCCACCATCAGTACTGTCCGTAAGAATTTGTAGATGTATATAATATTATGATGATGTTGGCCTTTTTGAGACCAATCCGAGGTCTCATTACAAACCTGCGTGTGCTTGGCGGTTGGGTTGGTTGGCTATGCATCTCTGGGTAACTTGGTTGAGCTGGATGCTTTCAAGGTCTACCAGGAGCACTATCCAGACATGATGTCCCGGACGATACAATTTGCTGGCGCATTGATGATGTATCTTTGTTATCCTTTCTTGGTTCTTCCTTGCAAGTCTCAGATTTGGAGCTTCATGACCTCCAACCCAGAGATTCGCTTGTCGGAGGCACCTTTCGCAATACAAGTTTTGATGACCTCCTTCTTTGCCGTGACAAATGTTGTAACTCCGATATTGGTTGGACCCAAAGCTTTCGCCAATTTTCTGATAATTTTGGGCTGTACAGTGGGTGTTTGGATGAATCTGTTCCTTCCAGCACTCATCATAGTGCATGCCCAAATTCTGCCAAGCCGCTCGAGCGGTGTTTCAAGCAGAGCTTCGGTTACGCTTGTTTTGTGGCTTTGCTTCGTTGGTGTTCTTTGCTTGATTGAAGGTATGGTCTCAATGACAAAGCCAACTAAGAAAGAGACCCTGCTCCCATTGTCAGAGGAGTGTGAGCGGGTGTTCAACGCTCACCATCCAAAGTGACTTCTGATTGCTAGCACATGCGCTTTGGGAGAGTGGTTAGCCCAAGCTTGGCGGTGACTTTCAATGGCCAGAAGTGGGGGAGTCGCAGAGAAAAGAAGAAAGTATTCATCGGAAACATGTTTTGCCCAGCTGAGTCAGGCTTAGTCAAGGTGACCAAGAGCAAGAGAATGGCTGCATAATGTTGGAGAGCTCTTAATCAGTTCAGGGAAACACCTCATCTATGCATTTTCCCCACGGAGAAATTGCATCCAAGATCGAAAAAACGGTCTGATAAAATCATGTGGAATCAGGATGAATCAAGGCGTAGATGGCGCCACGTGCTGTGCCCCATGGGTACCAGATTGGAGGCAGCCTAGGTTTGGCCAACATGGTCCCCGCAAGCCCTCGCCGCTTGGGGGTTGGCGCACATGGGGTGTTGCAGTCAAGCGAGATGCATTCACTTGCGCGCCTTTCCGACTGTGCATCATTAGTGCAGCTTAATTCTGCAACATTAGGGCAAGCCACTGTTGACAGTATATATATATTATATGTACAACTGTATATATATATGTTATATAATTTGTAGCGCAAAATCAGTCTAGCAGCTTGAGTAGTATAGTAATGCATGTTTCTCGTCTCAGCATGATCGTCCTGAGAAGCCAGGACGGGGTTGAGGTTTTTGATGTCTCTAGTGACTTGCGCTTTCACAAACGCATACTGTACTGCCAGGCTTGTGCGGCTTAGTTCTGGCAGCCGCCCTCACTCCGTGGAATCTTGGATTCGTCCTGATGGTTTTGTCACAGGGCAAAACCTTGTGAATGTTTGGATTTGACCAGAGGTGAAGTTTGTCCCGCTGTTTTGTACCTGCGTGCCCCCAAACTCTCAGACAAAGAACAGGTATATCGTGTACATCCACATATACTCTGTGAAGACTCGTGGCTTAAATTGCAAGGGTTGGTTTAGCTGAGGGTTGCCGAAGACGTTTTTTTCATGTTTTTACAAACGTTGTGTGATATTGTGCGTTTGCTTGTAGTGACAATGAGACCAGCAGAAAAACAGGAAGAATATTTTGCCACAGAAGAACTTGGGTTGTTAAAGATGTTTTGCTCGTGTGCCAACGTGTTATACAATTGAATAGGCGACTTACAGCCATTGGCATTTTAGTGTGCTTCAGTTGATTTTGTTCAATCCATATGTTATATTGCTATTGTAGCACACACAAGAGCTTTGCCTTCATGTGTATGGGAGACAGTGTGTGTTGTTGCTTTTCACTAATCCGGTCCACCTATTAATACACAAACACCCCTAATAAGAGAAACTCGGTCGCATTTTTTCTAATAGGGGGTCCCTGAAATCGGGGGGTCCAAAAATTGGTCAGCTGGGAAGAGCTTCAGAACCAAAAAGTAATCCATGAACATTATATAAAATCCTTTATTCAACTCGTATCAAAAATTCAAGAAACCTCCAGATCGAAGGGTCCCTACAAAAACCTTTATTAGAATACTGATTCATTAGACTGACAACCAAAGCTTTCGAAAGGTGATGTCGCTGTGCCATGCGGTTTTGCACGACCTCGGTGGCAAGTGCGTTTGCGTGAGTCCGTGCCATTGGAGGAAGGAAAACCTGCTGGTGTAAACGCGGCGTGTCATGGTCGTGGATACACAGGGCGGACAGATGTGGGCAGTTACGTTTGTTTTTGGAACCTAATAAAAGAAACTACCCCATCATCGACCATGTTGGTAATTTAGTAGCGGCTTGAAAGGGCGGTAATTTAAAAGCAAATATAAACCGAAGTTAGGGTTTCGGACGTTGTGTTTTTCCCGAAAGCATTGCGAAGGGCTCTTCCGGAAAATCCTTTGAACACTGACACTTCGACACTTACACTTAGACACACCTAGACATTGACACTTTCACCACACTTGCAGGATAACATGAACGCTATACGTAGCCCTGTGTAAGTGGAAGAGCGAAAGCTGTCAAAGTATGCAAGTGGAAGTATGCAAGTGATGAGTATGCAAGCATGCAATGAGTAGGCAAGTGAACTAGCACGGGAGATGTCCTAATGAAAAAACATTTCCCCACTTTATAAATTCTCTCTTAAAGGCGGAGGGTGGGACGAACAGCGTCAACCGAAAGTGCAACCCTCTGCGGAGATCGTGCGTGTCGAGTGCGCGAAATGCAGGCGAGAGTGCGATGTG